CTTACTGCCGTACTAAACCATCTTAATTTAACACACTGCAGAACATTTGCTTTAGGGTAATTTTTTTCCTGCCTACAATTTATAACATTTTGGTTTGGTCTTATGTGATTAATTTTGATCAATGCAGAGATTTCCTATTCTCTAGTGAGAAATATGTATACTGAGGGAAATGAATTTTTTCCAACCACGTCCTCCAGAGTATTTTTAAATACACTTTGTTCAAGACATGCTAGGTAAATATTGCATTTATATGGTTGAAGAATAACAAAAGTGGATTTTAAATCAATTAAAATTCTGTGAATCTTATATTAAGAATCAACCCATATGCATACGTATATATATGAATAATTTGACTGTTTGTGTGTACATCAGTGAATAGAATTAAAACATATTCAGGCCGGGTGTGGTGGCTCATTCTTGTAATCCCAGCACTTTGAGAGGCCGAGGCGGTTGGATCACTAGGTCAGGAGTTTGAGACTAGCCTGGCCAACATAGTGAAACCCCGTCTCTACTAAAAATACCAAAAAAAAAAATTAGCCGGGCATGGTGGCGGGTGCCTGTAATCCCAGCTACTTGGGAGGCTGAGGCAAGGAGAATTGCTTGAACCTGGGAGGCAGAGGTTGCAGTGAGCTGAGATCGTGCCACTGCACTGCAGCCTGGGTGATAAGAGCGAAACCCTGTCTCAAAAAAAAAAAAAAAAAGAATTAAAACATATTCTTGTTTCTGAATTATTTTAATATGTGTCTTAGTGGAAATTATATAATAGTATAAAAATGCAAAGGATTTTTTTAATCGTGTGGTATATATAAGTGAGCACAAATAAAGGTGTTTGGTTTATTTTAGATTAATACTTATTTTGAAAATATCCCTTGTGCTAAATGTTATTTCTTAGTTAGTTGGGGTGATATTACAGTATGATCTTTTAAAGCAAATCAACTAAGTTACTGTTAATAAGAGTCAGTAAAAATCAAGATTGTGCAGGTTTCCTAGCAGAGGTTGTAAGTCACAGTTGATACCTCCCTAACAGTTTTCCACATTCAAGTCACCTGACCTTCCAACTTGAAGATAGTCTTGCTCTAGTACTCAAGAGCAATTTCTGCTATCAGTTAAGGCTTGGCATCTCCCAGTTCATAGAATTAGTGAATCTCACTATACCTTACTTCTCCTTTGAAACACAATCTTGTCTAAAGCCCTAGTATCATATGGAAAATCCTCATAAGCCGTTATTCTTTGCCCACACAGCTCTCAAATTCTTGTCATCAGATACACTGCTTCAGGTTTTCAACCTGAAGCTTGATCTGTCAATAATCTAGTGCCTAAATTACCACCAAGCTTTTTACATTGTTTACACAGTACATCTTATCTACTCTGGCAAGCTTGTCTTTCAGTCCAGTCCATATTCCAACCATGTGTTTTTTTGTTTGTTTGTTTGTTTGTTTTTTGTTTTCCACTAAATGCTGATTCTCAGCTCCTTTTAATTACTGTGTTGCCTTGAAGAATCATGGTGACTCATGCATGAATTTCATGTTACAATAAATTTGTATTCAAAAGTATGTAATACAACATTAAACATTTTGACTGATGGAAGTTTAAAACAATTTGACTAAGGATGAAAGGATGAACCTGGTATTGAGGCTCTTGAAATATTCGTTTAAGTTTTACTTTTGTACTTACTGGATCTGAAACTTAGTCACATAATTTAAATTCTGTAGGCTTCAATGTCCTCCTTTGAAAAAATAAGCTAAAATAATATTTATCTTGACTTCTGTTTCTATTCATGAAGGAGTTCTGTCTGTAAGACTTGTCCTCCAGCTTTCATTGCTAGAAAACTGGACTAAATATATAGAAATGCTATGATCTTCAAGAGAAGGGAAGCAAATGAAGAGATGATTCCAACACTGGAATTTCTGACTGGAGGCAATTTTTAGACCATGATACGTGGCATATGGAGGAACAGCCTAAACATAACTTCATGGTATTTAATTTTGTAGTTGAGGAGACAAAGATCTGAGTTTAGAGAGAACAAAGGAGCTAGAATTTGTGGGGCAGATTACCAGAAATGAGGGAAATACACAAAGAGTTTTAGAATTCTGCAGAGGGGCTCCCCAGAATCTTTGTTTGAATAGCAATCTACACATTCGTAATGTGAAATTCCATATGACCAGGTGACAAACAACTGCTGGAAAAGAATAATTAGAGTGAACTCTAAGTAGAATTCCCAGGGGTCTCACAGGTCTGGGAATCTTTTGATTTCCCATCAGCCAGAGTAGTGAACCCCCATTAAATACAGAGGGAGTTCAGTAGAGAGCACAGAAGGACCAAGCCTTAGGAACAGGGATAACTTAACACTAGACTACTTCAGACTCACCCTAAAAATTGTTTAATGCAAGCCTCAGAGGAATCAGTATGAGTCACGGGTAACTTAACTGTCTCCCAGGGACAATTCTACGTCTAAATCAATACAACTAAATCTAACACTAATCAAAATAAAATGTATAATATCTGGCAACCAATAAAAAATTACTGGACATGAGAAAAAATAATAAAATATGACTCATGTCAGGAGAAAATTCAGTCAATAGAAACAGACCTGTAAATGACAGATAATGAAGTTAACAGAAAAAGTTTAAAATATTATTACAAATATAAATGTCAAGGAATTAAAGAGAAATATAAATATAATGAGAGAAATAGATAATAAAATAATATCAAAATTAAACTTCTAGAAATGAAAACCAAGATAGCTGAAATAAAAATTTCACTGAATAGGATTAAAAGCAGATTAGATACTGCAGAAGAAAAGATCAATGAACTTGAAGATGTAATAATAGAAAACATATAAAATATCAAGGAAAAAGGAGGTTGTACAAAAGTAAACAGTGTCAGTGATTTTGGAGACAATAACAAGTTATTTAACATATAATTTGAGTTCTAGAATTACATGGTAGGAAAATTGAGGGTCAGAAAACTGTTTAAAGATATAAGGCCAATGTTTTCCCCACAAGCTTTATGAAAACAATACTCCCATGATCTCAGCTCACGACAACGTCTGCCTTCTGGGTTCAAGCTATTCTCCTGCCTCAGCCTTCTGTGTAGCTGGGATTACAGGCACCCCCCACCATTCCCAGCTAATTTTTTTGTATTTTTAGTAGAGACAGGGTTTCACCATGTTGACCAGGCTGGTCTCGAACTCCTGACCTCAAGTGATCCAACTATCTCTGCCTCCCAAAGTGCTGAGATTACAGGCATGAGCCACCATGTCCAGCCTCAAATTGATCTTATATTTAACTAATTATATATGTGTAATAATGATAAAAATAGGAGGAAGAAGAGAAGACAATAATTACTGTTTTGGAATATGCTGTGCCTGGTCTTTGCTAAATGCTGTTACATATAATATCTCATTTAATCTTCCTAGCAAATACATTTGATAGCTACTATATTTATTATTTTTCAGTCACAAAAGATGAAATTGAGAGACATTATGTAATTTACTAAAGGGCGTTCAGAAGAAAGTGACAAACCAGAGATTTAAAACTACGTCAGTCTGAATTCAAAAGCATCCCATTATACTATCTCCCAGATGTAAAAAACTATAAGCATGAGTACTACTTCAGAATTTACTTTTAGCATAAACTTTACATTTAAGAAATGTTCTAACTTTTTGTTTTATATTATTTGTCACATAAAATTTAGCCTCTTCAAACTGTGTTCTATAAATGTAGATAATTTTCTATAATCAGAAAACAGGCTACCACCTTTTTACAAAAATAAATGGTTTGCTGTGTTGATTCTAGAACCTTTTCTAGGGTCAAGAGAGTAGTAAAGCTACTGTTTAAAATAAAATGGTTTAGTTAATATGTATCTCATGTGTTTTTATCTAAACAATCAAGAAATTACTTTTATTGATGAAGAGATAACATTTTTGAAAAAACCCTGAAATTTTTTAAAACATAAATGCTGTAGCCAAATGAAAAAAAAGTTATCCTGTAATGTATTTTTCCTGTAACTATGAAATACTTAACTACAATATTGCACTCCCAGCATTATTATTGTTGCTACTTAATGAAATAACAGCAGTAATAATATCTTCTTAAATTCCTAAATATAAAGCTAGAAACATAATGGGTCTAGTGTATCTTTATTACAGGACTTTTTTTTTTTTTTTTTTAACCTTATACATTGGTAGTGCAATGTATGTGATAAATGCATTGGTAATGCAAATATATAATTATGATTATGTACTATTCAGATTTTCATCAGAAATAGAGAAATACTTTGACTTTAATCAAAATTCTTAATGGTAGTATGAACATTTTTAAATTTATTTTTTCCAAAGCATTGTTAAATAATTTATCAGATTGGTGCAAAAGTAATTGCAGTTTTTGCCATTACTTTTAATGACAAAATTGACTTGCTAAGAAAAACAATAACTCTTTCTTCTTTTAATTAAGTATAGTGCTTATTAGGAACTTAAAGTGGATCCTCTTTTTATATTGTGGAGAGCAGGTATGCTAATAGAAGAGAGAGAAAGCCCTTTGACAGGAAATAAAATCCTGAATATTTTATAGATAATCAGCAGTACTGCAAGGGCTTCTGCTGTCTTTTATCAATCTGACTTTGTTTGGGCACTGAGATCTGCCGGTAGGTGAAATAGAGCAGGAGCTTACCATCGTAGAATATACTGTACGTACTAGTTCAAGTTTAAACAATATCTTTGGTTTCAACAAAGGGTAGGCAATCATTGCGTAAAATAGACATATTAATATTTTATTTTTACTTATGATCTAGGGGTCAGCAGGAAATGCATTGGGACTACATTTGAAGACTTACTTAGCTACATACTCATAGACACATACACACATGAGATAGTCATCTATATACAGATCTTTGTTATGAATAAGTGAATTATTTCCTTTATTTCAAAATTCTTGCACTAGTATGAATTATTATTTACTTCTTCTCTGCCAATAATAATGTATTTTACTTTTCTTTTTCAGGGTTTAAACTTGAAAAGACTAGAGACAGTTCAAGGAGGGAGAGAGGTAAGAATGTTTAAAGAAGAGGGACAGGGAAAAAGAGGAAACATGGCTATGGTGTTGCAGTGATGTGGTGATGGTGATTGGTGATAATTACATTGATAATGGAAATGGAGATGCATTGAAGAGAATGTTGTATGCATAAGGCTCCGTTCATTCTGGCCAAAGCATATTTTACATGTTTATGTAAATGTGTTATTTGTGCTTGTTCCTCTGAAGCTAAAGAAAATGTTGTTTCTCTGATTAGGCAAACATTGTTTCTGTTATAATGGATTTCTGTAGAAGCAGGTCCTTTCACTGGGGGCAGAAAAGCCTTTTTAAGCAAACATTACAATGCAATTTTTAAAACTGAGACTTACTGAGAAATTAGCAAAATTCTAACAATGCAAACATTTTATGACATTTGGGATTCTTCATTTTCCTGTCAAAGGCTTTTGGCATATGCTACTAGATTGGTATGCATTATTAGAGAGTATGAAGTTGCTCTGATAAAGCTAGTGATTTTAAAACTTCTTTCATTATTGCCTACCCCAGGTGCTTTATAACGAGGAGAAACTTTTAACAGTACCAAACATAATACCATAGAATTTATACGGTGCACATTATTTTCTGATCCTAACGAATGTGAAGACTTAACATCACTTAAATTTTTTTCCATGCTAAATGTATAAATGCTGTACTTAACTCTGTGACTCAGGTTGCTGGGAGGTGTGGGAAGGGTGGAATATTTAATTCAGTAAATCAAAACATTCTCGCTGCACAAAAAAAATCATTTTTGGTGATACTTATATAGCAATTTTTGTACAAAAGTGAAGGTATTTTGTCCTATAAAATGAGGAAATAAATCACACTGTCCTCTCCATTTGTAGCCTCCTTTCTGTAGAAACAGATTTCTTCCCTGTAGTGGTGTTTGCCAGCTTTCCTTGATGTTTTAATACCAGTTGCATGATTTTAGTATTTGACATTTTAGTTCCTAGTGAATTTGTCATTTAAGGTCTCTTTCCATTTTCTCAGCTATTTCCTATCCAGAAGAATCTATTTTTATTTAGAAACACATAAAGTTGGTTCACGTTGATGGAAGAGCTGGATGAGGTGAAACATAAATAAATCTTTAGATATTTTTCATGTTGTAGGAGAGCAAGATGATAAGAATATGGTCATCAGTATAACTGGGGAAAAATGCACTTCATAAGGAGGATCTCAGAGCCTTTTACAGCTTTGTGAGAGTGACTGCTTTCATTCAGACATGACCAAAATGGATCTACTTATAGAAAGAACTAAACTGATCACCTCCTAAGTGAAAGTTTACATCCAAGCAGTACTGCCGCAATTTATCTCTGCTGATTTAGTGCCTTTAGGGACATACAAATGGAGTTACTCGGCTTCTCCTTGCTGTTTCCTAGTCTAATAGCCGCTGTGTGTCGAAAGAAGGAAAACTGAAATCCATATATCCGTACAATGGCATTGCTAAATGGTGGCAAAATTCTGCATTTGTTTTACTAAGATTTTTATAGTTTTTCATTATGCATTATTTTTAAATGCATAATGATTGGGTTTTATTGAAAGAGTGGCTCTTAAATTGTATTGCTTATTTTTCTAACGTCCTTCGATTTTATTTTTATTATAAGTGCACTTATAAGTAAGGAACATGGTGAAAATGTGTTTAAATTAATTTTAGAAGTATATTGTTCTCAAAACTACCTTGTGATTTCTGTGAAGGTCAAAATTGTAATAATTTACAATTTAATGTATACATCTCCATAGAAGGGACAACATTGATTTTGGCCTTCTCCCTCAGGGTAATGGAATAATTATAAAAAGCTAAGGTCATGAAATTAACCATAATCCAGTAATGTCTTCTCCACTTGACACCTCTAATTCGTGACCAGAAAGTAAATGTCAACTATTAAAATTCAAAACAACTACTTTACTTCCACTTGGGGCAGCACAGGGTTACTTAGGCATATTTCTATTCAATCTAAATACTTAACCTTAGCTTTCCCTGTGACTAAGAGGCCTAGTGTGTTCTAAGATAAGAAACTTTAGGGAGGTATAAGACAATTAGGTGAAGTATATTGTAAAAACTGTTATTTTCAAGTCTCAATGGTAGATGACCTGTAAACAAAGAGTACAATTACTATGTTAAGGACCTTGTGATCTCATGTAAGAAATGGGACATGTATATATCTAATTTCTGTTTGTTGTGTTCTATTATGTGTGTGCATAATATGATGTACAATGTACTTCTGATTATGTTAAATTGAAACGGGGGGGTTTAGAAAACTCTTACTCCAAATTATTTCCTAGAATTTCTCATTGTAATGCTATTATTATGATTGATAAATGACAATAATTACTTATTATGATGAATTAATTTCTCAGTTCAAATGACAGCTATTACCAATAGGTGTTGATGGATGCAATATCAAGGGCTTATTACCAAATAGTTATAAGAAGATTTAAGACGTGCCATTTAAAATGTTTTATTTATTTATTGAAGTAATGAGAACAGAGTATTCATAGAAAATGAAATAGACAGTAATATGCTATTTCGGTAAGTGGTAAATACCATTAAAAATCTAATTGCCAGACAAGAAGGCTAGATTTGAAACTATATACTATATGAAAATATAAATTAAGAAGAAGTGATTAAAATGTAAATTACTTTTCTAAAGGAAATAGAGATAGATAACACCTAAATTGCTAAATTGTGAAATATATGAAAATAGTTATTAGCTGTAGTGCTCGCTTCGGCAGCACATATACTAAAATAGTTATTAGCTGTATAAAATAACTCCAGTTATATTGGTATTTTTGCATTTTTATACATGCATATTGTGTATACAATTTGAGGGGGCTGATTATAATAGATAATAAAAAGCTTGTTTAAAAGGGGAGATTAGTAGAATGCTATACAAAATGTGATGGTTTAACAGATATTTCTAACTGATTATAAACAATTTTCTTGCATCCAGTGGGATTTTGCAACTCATAGAAAAACCTCAGTGAAATTGACTGGGTAAGACACATAGATAAATCATTTTTTTCATTAAGTGTGTATAACACTGAGTTACTGTAATTTTTCTTAAAATACTTTAAAATACCTTTGTTATTTTAGGTAGTTTTTTTTTTTTTTCCAAAGGTCAGTTTTTAAGTATTAAAGCTTCATCTGTGTGTGCCTGTGTGCACAGTTTTGGAATGGCAGATTGTCTCTATTTTTACCCTACCTCAAAAATGCCCAACCATTGGTATTCTGAATATTCTGTATCACAGGTCTAAAATCACATGATATGTGACTTTATATCATGATGAGGAGAACTAATAATTATGGTTCAATATCTAAATCAGGAATAAATATTTAGCTTCTGAAATTCTATTGAATGTGATAAGCTAATATGAAATACACTAGCTATTGGAATTTTTGGATTAAGATTGTTATTGGAAGTTACAGAAACTCAGGAACCAAAGAGGCTATGCAAATGAAGAACAAATGTGTAGTGATCAAGGATCACTTTTATATACTTTGCATGACTCAGATCTCTTAAAGTGATGAACAGTCTTGGCAGGGATAATGTTGTCGTTATTAATCTGGAATTCTGAAAAAAGGTTAATATTGGTACACTTGAATATTTTAGATAAATAGTTTATACTCTTATAAAACTGATTATAAATATGCTTCTTAAACATCAGAAAGAGAATTAACACTTTAGGTCATTTCTAAAGTATTTAGAAATATGATCAACAACTTTATAGACATACTCATTCCACATTACTGCAAAAATTCCCACGTGTTTTGGAAATTTTTCAGTTGATGATATTTGCGTGATCATGCCATTGATATTAAAAAATCCCACTTTTATTTGTGGGATTGCAAGCACAGATAGATTTTTACAGACACTTAGGAAAAAAATATACATTTTAAATTATTAAAATAGCTGATTTATGAATGTATCATTCTCAAGAAAATAATGAGCATATCTTATAACCTGTTATCTATTTTGGAGTCCAGAATGCTTCACTAATTTTCTCTGCTGGATTACAGTGTGCTGATTCTCTATTTTCTTTGCTGAAAACCATAAATAGGAAATTATTGATGATACAAACCTCAGAGACTTAAAGAAACATAATTAGAGACAGTTGAAAAAAGGCAGATTGAAAATCAATGTTTAGTTAAATACTCTTTTCCCAGCCCTGTTTTATATTTACATTAATTAATCATTGAAAATAATACTTCAAGATTCTTTATTGATGTAAACTATCATTTGAGCATATAACATCCTAAAGAAAGTAATTATTTTATTCTGATAGTGGACTGTATGCCTTTGCTAATAGACTTGGACAGACTTTGCATTGTTTTATCTTTTGAGGAATTACATATTTCTACTTGAAATGGAAAATCATTTTAATTCTCTCCAAAAGAGAAAATTCTGAGAATCAGATAAATTATATTCTGAATTTCAAAGTAACTTATCAACCTGTAACATTAACACAAGAATGATTTCAATTGGAATGAAATAAAAATCACCAATGATTTCTCTTTCCATTTATGACTTAATTAGAATTATGAATCAGACTACTTTAGGACTAGGTTATTGCTTGAGTTAAGCAAAGTCACTCTTTTCTCTTGCCTGAGAGATCACTGGAGAGAATTGTTTTTTGTGGTTTTTTTTTTTTTTTTTTTTTGAGATGAAGTCTTGTTCTGTCGCCCAGGCTGAAGAGCAGTGGTGAGATCTCTACTCACTGCAAACTCCGCCTCCCGGGTTCACGCCATTCTCCTGCCTCAGCCTCCTGAGTAGCTGGGACTACAGGTGTGCATCACTACCCCCGGCTAATTTTTTTTTTTTTTTTTGTATTTTTAGTAGAGATAGGGTTTCACCGTGTTAGCCAGGATGGTCTGGATCTCCTGACCCCATGATCCACCCGCCTTGGCCTCCCAAAGTGCTGGGATTACAGGCGTGAGCCACCATGCCCAGCTGAGAATTGTTTTTTTAAAGGGATAAAAGAAG